GCTATTGTTAAGTGTTGTGTGACCATATTGTAAATTAATATTAAACGAAAAGCTGCAAAAAATATATTTTCAAACTATTTATTGGCAAATTTAGTCTAATAATTGAAAACATGGATGAAGTATGAAACAAATAAAATAAAACACATACAAAGCAGAACACAGCTAAATGTATCAAAAGTATGTCTATGTAATATTAGAGTTTTCTGAGACAACGAATTTTGGTTTTTCGTTGTTTTTTTTTTTCCAGTAAGAGGTTTTTATTTAATAGAATTTTTGGACCAAAAATATCGCAATACATCGCCTTGTTTACAGTATCGAAATATATCGGGATATATCGTATTGTGACCCCTCTGTCATGATATGTATCGTATTACCAAATTCTTGCCAATACACAGCCCTAGCTTTGACTGGACCACTTTGGGACTTCCAACTCAGCTTAAGAACTCTGGAAACCTCCAACAAGTTTCTATCAAGAATTTCTCTGGATTTTGCTCCATCCATCCTTCTTTAAACTCTGATCAGTTTCTCAAGCCCTGCTGATGAAAAAGCATTCACTGCAGGGATGGTGCTCACAGGATGATTAGAGGTGGTAGATTTGCCTCAAACATGGTGAAGTGATTGACCTCAGCACCTTTTCTCACATTTGGGGTGAAAAAAAATTAAAACAGTCGGTCTTTAAATTTATTTACTTTTAATCTGTGTCTCTTTCCTGCCACGCTTCCATGAGGCCTGGATCTGTGCAGCTTCTAGTGGTCCTACGGAAAGATCCTCCCATCTCCATTAAGGCTGTCTTTGTCCTCCTAGATGTTTGTGATCGAGGCCCTCCTTTGCTGCTTCATATGTTTTGGTGGATGACCGTCTCCTGGCAGGTTGGCTGTGGTGGCATCACTCTTCCATTTCCTAATAATTAACTCAACCCTGATCTGTACTTCTCCAGTTTGTCCCTGACCTTTGTGACGTCATGGTCATAGCCCTAACTACTAAGATGTGTTAACCTGCTGCTGATTCTGTCAACAGATGGCTGCATACTGAGATCATCTGACATTTAGATACGATGTAAACATTATGAGCGATCTGTGTGGACTCTGAAGCTAATGGTTGGGGCTTCAAAGCAGAGGGGCTGAAAACATATGCACACCACTTTTCAGCACTTATTTAATTTGAAATATTTTAGGCCTATTATTTAAAATCAAACTGAAAAATGATTGAAGTTTCTTTTGTAAAGCAACAAAACAGAAATAATACCAAAGGCGTGACACCCACTGTATTCAGCTGTTTTGAATTTTAATGATAAATTAGCTCAAAGCAGAATAGGTTCAGTTGTGCTGTGTGTTTACTAATGTTTCTTACCAGATGCTCCCCAGCCACTTTGCGTATGCCCACCATGCGAACAGCGTCAGAGGGCAGGTGCAGGTTGTTTGTCTGGCTGTCCTCTGGCTCGTGATCATTAAAATCACACGGGCTGGAAGGAGGACTATCACACGCCCGAGACGCCACCGAATCATGTGTCTCTAGCAGAGACTGAAAAAGAAAACATCAAACATGCAAAGGTATATTTTTCCTTGTAGCGATTTCTTCTCTAACCAATGGAAGATAACGTCAAAATAGATTTGCAATCATTTAAAAAAAACTAAAGTGTGGCCTGATATTTGCATGTGCATCCCACACCTGAAAGTGAGGCTGCGTGAGAATGCGAGTGAGCTCAGCCGCAGTGTCAGAGCGATGTGTGAACGGGTTCAGATCTTTGAGGATCTCCTGCAGGAGCTCCACATTGTTCTCCCTGACTGGTGACAGTCGTGGCTCTTTTGGGCTCTCCTCTGGATCCTAACAGACAACCACAAACAGCATCATGTTACTGAGGAGTTATTTAGTTTTCTATCCCACATATTTGGTACATTTAGTTCATCTTGTGTGCATTAGGGGAGGTGATTATAAGTTACATTTTTAGATGCAGTCAGCAGAATAGTTTTTGCACACCATGGTGCCGTTAGTCCAAGTAGAGTTACCGTTATCGTTTTGTAATAGAAACATGTTACAGTAATGCTGTGTATTTTCACAGAAGTTTAAAGTTTTTCTTTGTTGAATACTGAAGAATTCACCTTAAGGTACAGTTGATGTAAAATGACTTCGAAATATTGGATTAATGTATACATTTCAGTGGTAACAAAGCTAACTATGTTAGCTTTTCTATGGCATTTTCAATGTTAAGTCAGTATCCATGCTAACTATTAATCAACACTTTATTAGCTTTGTTTGTTTTTGTTTTTCTGCTGTGAAATCTTCATGAGGCATGAAAATAATAAATCAATGTTTATACATGTAAATTAGGGATAAGGTGGTCTTGGCAGTCACTAAGTGGGAGGTTCCTGGTTTGTGGGAGGAGTTTGTCAAAGACACGATTGGTCTGTTTGACTTTTGTGGGAAGAGTTTTTTTTATGACGTTATTTGTCAGCTTGACTATTTTGGGTGGGGTTTAAAGAAACCGTAATGGTTCGGTTGGATGAATGCTGGGCAGACGTGTAACTCTGTCTAAATTGCCAGAAAGCACCTCTAACTTTAAAAATAAATATTAATTATATTCATAACTCAAGACCGGAAGGTGCTAGCCACACAAAATTTGAACACCAGACATGTGGAGGGACGTGAAACAGTTTGGTTTGGTTAAAACAGTCCTTACCCGCCTGGAAAAAGATCAGAATTTTAATATTATTCATTACCATCCTATAATCCAAACTCCGCCTACACAGCCAAGAAACTTCCCCTATATATTTCAAAGATCCCTACTTTAAAATAGGTCAATAGTCAAATGTGTGTTTCTGTCTGAATAATAGTTTTACAGTTTTGAATAAACTTCTAAAGTTGACCTCCTGCCTCTTCACAAACCTGATAACTGATCGTCAAAATGCATCAATAATTGTTTCATAATGGCTTTTCTGGCCTCAAATCCATCGTATTGTGAGGTGCCTAAAGATTCCCACCCCTAATCTGCATGTCTGTGTGTATCACACCGGAGGGCTCTCCATGATGCCTTTGAGGTAGATGAGGTCCAGATCATTGGCAATGGTGGAGCTGGTGGTGCTGTCACTCATTGCATCCAACACCTGGGGCCCTGGAACACACCACACCAAGGATGGAGCAGAAACAGCTACATTCASTGACAGTGCTTTTACATTATGGGAGAAATACAAAGGAACTTTAAGTTTACATGTTAACTTTTAAGAACATCCAACATTTTTCTAGTATTTTTCCTAATGTTGCCCACCGAAACTTGTACAAACTGCTCAAAAAGTTGTGAATAATGAAAAAATCTATATTTTAAAAAAGGACTTCCTGAATCGCTACAGTTAGGAACTGGGATTGATCTCACCAGGCTCTGTCCTGATGGAGGCCACAGGCATGACAGGACTTCAGTCAGTCTGTGAGACAAACAGAGGGAAACACAGGAAAATCACCAACAAATGTTTACGTTTCTAAGAAAAAGATGCTGAAAAGGCAACTCTTGACTTTTTCCAAATGTTATCACATTACAACCACAAACTTCCAAGTATTTTACAGAAATTTTATGGGATAGACCGACAAATGAACACATCGTTGTAAAGAGATCACTGCATAAAATAACAAAACTTATTTTCTGCATTTAACCAATCACACATGAGATCCACTCAAGTGGAGCAGTGGTGGGGGGCTACACAAGCACCTGGGGAGCAGTTAGAGAATAGGTGTCTTCTGTTATAGGTGGAATGTGTGTGTAAAGAGTCCTTTAAATCAAATGTATTATTATTATTATTATTATTATTA